GAGATTTTATTATAAGCGCACTGACGAAATACACATTTTATAAATTCCAAAATGAGCCGAAATTCGGAATGTCACGGAGTGTATCAATGAGCCAAGGGTGCTTTCATTACATTGTCAAGACTTGAGAAGTCAAGCAAAACATTTGTAAGCGTATGCAGTGGGGGAGACCACAACCACAAAACAGGACAATGAGAAAGAAGAAAAATCTACAAGATACAGACTGGTTTGAGCTAGTGATTGTGTATGCATGAAATGTGTTTCAAGGTGGATGGGTTTATACTCGAAAAATTCTATTTTTCTGTTTTTAGACTACATATATGCATTCTGAAAAAGAATAACATGCAGCTTTATAATAATTAATCAACTATATTCAAAGAGGTAAAATATAAACTGTCGTGTTACAGAACTAAGATTTCTAAATAAGATTCCATTATATACTTTTAAATTAAGACAAGATACGTCGCACATGGATTTTTTTTCCCTTTTCTGGGCTAGAATTTCTAATGCATATGGATTGTGGTTGATGCGTATTTGCGGGAGAATTATCACCGCAAAGAATTTAATTTTTCCTTTAATCTAGTACCTGTATTGTAAATATTTTGTTACATTTTCATAGATTTGAGGAACATCCTATCTTGTTACCATCGCATTAACAAAAAAAACGCAATCACAGTTACCAAAAGTCATAATGTAACAATATTTTCATTTTTTGCACGGAAACAATGGGGGTTTGGGCGACCACATGCATGTGTCTTGCATCGACCCAGCTTTAGATGTCCCGTAAGTTTAATTCTCTGACCACGGTGCTGTCCATCACTGTCCTTGCAATTGCAAGTATGCGGATTTAACTATTATTTTATCCCGCCGCACAGTACTATCAAGTCTTAAAAATTAATAAGCCTAATTAATGATTGTAAGAAGATAGAAACGACGTAAAGACTAAAGAGGAAAGGAGTAAAAGAATTGTCGTGGGTAATAAGGAGATAACATCGGCGTGCTAGGATTTTGTAAATATTTCAACCTAATGGCTCGCCAGATTCGGGATAACTGTCAAAGTTAGTTTATTTTGCGAATTTTTTCATTATTTCTTATAATTTTCTTGGAAATAGAGACTCGGGCTAGGCCCCTGGGCCTAGTCCGAATTCGGACCCAGCTTGGACCCCGCAGGTCGAGGTCACAGAAAACATGAAAGGCCTTATAAATGAACAGGGGCTTATTTGTTCAAGTCCAAATTTAATCCTAACGAGAGTCAAGCCCGAATTCTCTAAAAGCCGAAGCAAATCCAAATTTATCAAACCTATTCAAAGCCCAAAAGCTTATTATTAAGCCTAATTAAATCCAAAAACTTACTAATCGGACTAGAAAACTAGACAAGCCCAACCTCGAACCCATTTGTCATTCTCTTATATTTTTTTTCTTCTCTTTTTATCAACGCTGTTCTTCCTTTTCGCCGCCGAGTCTCTCCATTACACCTGTTTTATTATATCTCCTTTTTTTTTTTTACTTCTATTTTCTATTTACCCCATCCATACATAATTCCACTCGTCCTTGATTTAAATAGTTAGTAGTAGCAGACTTACAGTGGCCTTAGGGGTGATGATGATGGTGAGAGATAGGGGAAGCCAAGCTAAGCATTTCAGAGATTGATTGGAACTCGTGACAAAATAAAGTACAACATCCCACCAAGCGAAATTCACTAAATATTTTGAACCAAAAAAAAAAGGAATTCATTACATAAAACCCTTGAATGCATTTCTCTGCCGCAACAAACCAGCAGAAGCAAAATCGTCTTCAAATCGAACGAACAATCTCACTGATTCATTTCCTCTGATGGCCAACCAGACCAAAGCAAAGCTCTGATCTTCGCCCAGGCTTTTATGCTACCCCCGATCTTCTCGTTCCGTTCCAGCGAGGTGCTCATCATTTCGATCGTAACTCTTCCGGGGGCACGATGAGTCTCGGCATTTCTGTCGAGGAGCACAAGGTGGGCATCGTTTCGATCGTAACCCTTCCGGGCACGATGAGTCTTCGAGCAATTGTCCGCAGCTCAGACTAACTGAATTCCCCATTTCAACCAAAAAGAACAAGTTCACTGCAGTGGTTTGTGACACGCCGACTATTTACCGTGACCGACCGTCGGCTATTTGCGAAGAACTAGTTCACCGCAAGCGGCCTCGGCATATAGCCCGCGTGTCGCAACCAACTGCAGTAAACTTGTTCTTTCTGGTTGATATGGGGAATTCAACTAGTCTGAGCTGCAGCTCGAAGACTCATCGTATCCGGAAGGCTCAAAGACTCATCTTAAGGAAGGGGTAGGGAAGGGCGGAGGAGGAGGGGAAGAACGGGCACGGGTCGTCGAGTGGGGTGGAGCAGAGGTGAAAGAGGGCGAGACGAGAGGCGAGATGTTTATGGCGACCACGAGGTGGAGCGGGAGTGGAGGGTGGGGAGAGAGCGGGAGCGAGAGGCGGGTTTTATGAAAGGGTCGAAATCAGGTGTCGAGTGACAGAGTGAAGATGGTGGAGAGAAAGATCTACATCTCTCTAGAGAGAGAATGGACGCAAACATTGAAGGATAATGGACATTGGTTCGACGTTGACTCGCTCCCACGAGGCTGTGCAAGATAATGGACGCGAACGTCGAGGTATATTCAGAAACCAAGAACGGAGAAGACCTTTTCTTCGAAGGTTCTTGGAACCCAACTCAACGAGAATGAAGAAACCGCCATGAACGTTGCTCTGTTTATAGAGAGAGAGAGAGAAGAGATCGTTCAAGGTCTACTTTTTTCTGAAAGAGGAGAGAGAGTGCCATATTAATTGAAGAGAGAGAGGAAAGCGGAAAGAGAGGAAAGTGGTCGATCGTGCAAGACACAAGGAGATAAAGAGAGGAGAGAGAGCGCTGCGTTGATTTAAAAAGAGAGGGTCTAGTACGAGAGAGATTGTGGTTGATCGCGCATAACCATTTGTGTTCAGTTGAGTGTTAAAGCAGATTTGCCTCAAAAGAAGTAAATACAGCGCGAAGCTTACCATATCGAATAAAACCCAACAAAAGCCAGCTTGCCACCTTTTAGCTCCTCAGTCTCTCTTTCAATCGCCAAGCACCGGTGAAGGAATCTTTGGTGAGTTCTTGGTTTTCACCTACATGCACTTTAAGATAAAAGGTTGCTAGCTGGTGGATTAATCATGGTATGCTGATCAAACGTGAAGGTAACACTCTCTGATGGAAACGATTCTGTATCTTGCCATGTCTATGCCATGCTTATTAAGGTATTTGCTTTGGCCTGTGGTCATGCATGATGTTTTGTGAATTGCCAAGTTAAGATAGTTTTTTTTAGGGCAGCATAATAATCTTCTGTTGCTAGAAGGTCTAGTGAGAGTTTCATTCTTGAAGGATGATGCATTTTTTCTTTGTATATCACGCAATTCGAGTTATTTAAGTTGAAGCTGACTTTGGTGAGTGCTTTCTATAACACCAAGTCGCATCTTATTGCGTTAATATTTGCATGTCTAGTTGTTTATATTGTTGGAAAATTGGTGAATAATGAAAATATGGGGGAAAAGTACAAAAAAAGTCATAAACCGGTTACATTAATACCAATTTATTCATAAACCTTTCAATTGAACCAATTTAGTTATAAACATTTTCACATTGATATCAACTCAGTCCATCCAGCCAATTTAGGCCAGGAATCGTTGACATGGACCGGCCGTCTTACGTAGCACGGCCGGCATACGGTTGGTGCTGATGTAGATAATTTTAACTAATATTTTAATATTTTTTTTTTACCTTTTTTTCCTTTTCCTTCCTTCTCCTTCCTTGGGCCTATGGTTGGTACCCGGCCATGGCCGGTGACTGGCCACAGGTGAGGGCTGCCCTCGTCAGATCTGGCTAGGGTCGCCCTCGCCATATCCAATGAGGGCCGCCTTTGCCCAGGCCACGAGGGTCCAGCCCCTTGCCCTTGCTTGTGGCCGGCAAGGGCTGTGACGCCCTTGGCGACCTTCGATTGTGGCTAGTCGCTGGCCATGGCCGAATATCGACCACAGGCAAAGGAGAAGGAAGGAAAAAAAAAACGAAAAAAAAGAAAGGAAAAAAGGGAAAAAGAGAAAAAAAATTTAAAAATTTAAAATATTATTAAAAATTATCCATGTCAACGTTGGCCGTGCCACATAAAACGGCCGATGTCCACCTCAGTGATTTTCGACCTAAATTGATCGGATGGACTGAATTTGTACTAATATGAAAAGGTTTAGGACTAAAAATTGGTCCAATTGAAAGGTTTATGACCGAATTGGTACCAATGTAATAGGTTTATGACTTTTTTAGTACTTTTATCGAAAATATGGAAATGCTCTCTACCAATCGTATCCATGGAGGCCTATTTAGGCGGTGATTAATTTCATCTTAAAAATCAGATTGAATAATTTTTAAAAAGTTGGAAAAAAACTACTTTTGTGATATCTGAAAATAGGTTTTGATTGGTTATATGCTTGTTAATTGATAGAATGACGAATTATGTCAAATAATTTATGTTTTCCTACCTTAAAAACCATAAAAATATCTGACGGCTTTTCTATCTTGCATGGAATTTATTCGAGTTTTTTCAAACCTAAGTTTGTTGAGATGTCATTTTGTGTGGTCCCAACGTAATTGTTTCCCAGAGAATTTTTCCAATTGGGCATTGAATCTACAATATTGGTCATATTCTCCCTAAAAAGCAGCTCCTTTTGCTTTGTTATTTTATCTATTTTTTTTTTAAGTGGACAATGACATTTGCACAAAGATTAATTGTTCGGTCTGAGACCACTATCAATTTACTTAAAAAAGTAAAAATATATTAGATGAGAGCATTATTTAAATAATATAAGGCATCTTATTAATTGAACCCCATGTGGTTGTTTTTTTTTTTTTCGGTCGATAAAACTCATACTTTCATTGCTAAGAAGGATTTAAACAGCAAGATTGTCCGAAATCATAGCATAATAGCGACCAAAAGGAGTGGGGGATTTTAGTCAGCCAATTCGGATCAAGAGAGTCATTCCGACGAGCCTTCGCCACCCAGTCCGCGGCTTGATTTCCATTTCGGGAACAATGGACTATGGAGGCGTCACTTAGTCGGGCCAGAATCTATTGGCAATCCATCACAAATAGACCGAGTGGGCCAGGGACTTTCGGCCCAGCCCAGAACATAAGAAACTGAGCACAGGTCAGAGCTGATGACCACCCCGCAGATCAGACTGAACTGAGCACAGGTCAGTTTCTTGCTTCCTCTTCTCTCCCATGTCTTCTCCGTGCACGACAGTCCCTCTCTCACCGCAAGGGTTTCCGCTAACAGTGCCGAAGAGGCGTGTATTTTCTTGGCAAATCCATCGATGAGGATCCCATGGGAGTCTCTACAAACCCCCCGGCGATCGCTCCCTCCCGCGACTCACCGCACCAGGAGGCATCGACATTCATCAACCAAGAACCCTCAGGTGGCGGGATCCAGTGGTCGGAAGGTTAGGCATCCTGTCCTTTATGCTTCTTCTTGCTGTGATTCCATTTTTCGAAGAGCTTCTGTGAATTAAACGCTTCCTCGACTAACTGGCTGGGTCTCGGCTTCCTGTTCCTGAAAACCCACGCGTTCCTTTCCTTCCAAATCAACCATATTACACCGGCGAGTATTGCCGTGGAGGATGGGTCGGCTCGGGAAGGTAAGTTTTCCAATATCGACTTGTCAATCCTGGTTATCTTTTCCGGTGAGGTGTCGAGGTTCAACCGAGAATCTGACCAGATTTTTTTTGTCTTGTCACAAAGGAGGAGGAGGTGCTCAGGAGATTCTGGGGGCTTTACGGCACACCGGGCAAAGAGGGTCAGGTACCATTCCTTTTCTATAAAGGTTTTCCTTGGTAGGAATTGCGTTGTTGCATACACTCCATAGGAAAAAAAACGAACTTTCGGGTACGAGTGAATTTGCCAAATTGCGGTCCATAATGATCGGGGAGGCTGATATGATGAAGACGCCTGGTTGGCGTTTAATTTCTTGTCCTGGGAGCATAGTTTGTTGTAGCCACTTTTTACCGAATAGGACCCTGCACTATTTCCAGTCCAAACTAGCTTATCAGTCATGGGAGTATGACTAAGTGGAGCTGCAAGTATCTCTTTCTCCACGTCCTCGTCAAAAGGTTCATCTAGTTTCTGGATTTTCCATTCCTTTGTTTCCTGGTTAATTAGCTCCTCAACGAGATGGGAGTCGTTTAGATTCGCTGGGCCACCAATTTTGCCTATAGATAGCCATTTGTCTTCTCTAACTTTAATCTTCTTTCCATCTCCCACTATCCATCTCACTTCAGGCTCAATCACTTCCCTCTCCTCGAACAAGCTTTGCCACCCCCAAGAGGGGCGATGGCCTTTGTTTGCATTCCAAAACTCTCCTCGTGGGTAGTAAATTCCTTTCATCAGCTGACTCCAAAGGGCAGTAGGTGTTTGTGTCAAGCGCCAAGCCTGTCTCCCAAGCATAGCCTTATTAAAGGCAGTGCGATCTCTAAAACCTAAGCCCCCCCGGTCTTTCCTGGTCTTCAACACATCCCATCTCCTCCAATGGACACCTTTTTTATTCACGTTTTGTTTCCACCAGAAAGATGCAATTCTCTTTTCAATTGATTTGCAAATCGATATGGGAATCTTAAAAATTGATATTGCATACTGTGGAAGGGCTTGGACAACAGTTTTGATAAGAATCTCCTTTCCTGCTTTTGTCATCAGTTTCTCTTTCCATCCCACCAACTTTGCGTTGACCCTTGCTAAAACCCATGCAAACATTTCTTTCTTCGATCGCCCCCAGTCGGAGGGAATACCTAAGTATTTACCAGTCTTATTTATGGTTGGGACTCTTAGTTCGCCCGCCATATTCCTTTTCAATTGTTCAGGGCATCCTTGCTAAAAAAGATGCCGGATTTGTTAAGGTTAATAGCCTGTCCCGACGCATAACAATACTGGTTGAGGATGTTTGCCAAATTTTGGCATTCCTTAACCGTCCTGTCCAAGAAAAAGATGGCATTAACAGTGAATAATAGGTGGGATAAAGTCGGACACCACCTATTCAATTTAATCCCTCGTACACTGCCATCCAATATTGCCTTGTTTAGTAACGAGGAAAGTACGTTTGCCAAAATGATGAAAAGATAGGGTGACAGTGGATCCCCTTGTCTAATACCCCGTGAAAGCCGGACATGTTGAATAAATTCTCCACTAATTCTCACACTAAAGGAAACCGTGGATATACAATTATAAACTAGCCAAACCCAATCCTCACAAAATCCCATTCTTCGCATACAATCACACAGAAAATCCCATTCAACTCTATCATAAGCTTTTTGCATGTCCAGCTTAAGGATTGCCTGGAATTTCGTTTCCCTTTTCGTAATACGCAATTGATGAAGTACCTCCTGAACTATTAGAATATTATCTTGAATTTTCCTACCTCCCACGAAGGAACTTTGTTCCGTGGCAATAAGGCAAGGGAGCCAGGGTTTGAGCTGATTAGCCATAACCTTCTATATGACCTTATAGCTAAAGTTGCATAAGCTAATAGGCCTGAATTGGGTGATGCTCTCTGGGTTCATCATCTTCGGGATAAGGACAATTTGCGTATTTAAGATTAGGATCGAAAGTACCTGTAGTGAAGAAGCTGTCGACCATCCTAAGGATATCATGTTGAATGTCCGCCCGATAGTGATGGTAAAATTGCCCATTTAGTCCATCTCGGCCAGGTGCCTTAGTAGCACGCATTTGAAATGCCGCTTCCTTTACTTCCTCAAGAGTCACCCTTTTCATTAAAGCCACATTCATTTCATCTTCTATGAGGCATGGGCACTGGTCCAACACAGGCTGAAAATTTCTATGACCCACGGTGGTATATAGAGATTGATAGAATTGGCCAATGTGTTGCTTTAGTACTTCGGGGTCGTGGCTCCAGCAGTTATCGTCCACTTTCAGCATTGAAATTCTATTCCGTAATCTACGTTGGATCGTAGTGGCATGGAAATATTTAGTGTTCCTATCTCCCCACCTCAGCCAATTTATACGAGATCTCATACTCCAATACATCTCTTCCTGCCTCCAAAGTTTTTCAATGTGCTCTTTTATCCACTGGGTCTCCTCCCTATTCCCATCCACATCAGGGCTATTGGTCAGCTCTGTTAATTGCCTCATTGAGTGTTCGATTTGTCGATGAGCATTGAAGAATTTCTTCTTGCTCCAGCCCACCAACGCACTGGCCACCCTTCTTATTTTCCTCACTACATCTACCTGAGCGTTATTTTGGTCATTCCAAGCCCTTTAACAATATTCTAACATTCTGGGTCCTCTAGCCAACACGCCTCAAATTGAAATTCCTTTTTCCCTTTAGACTTTGTCTGGTGCATAGAAATAAGGAGAGGACTGTGATCGAAGCCTATAGCTGGCAAGGCATAGGCCTCCGCATTGGGAAATAGCACTCTCCATTCAAGATTGCACACAGCTCTATCTAATCGTTTCCTCACCAAGGCCTCCCCATCTCTATTGTTAGCCCATGTATAGGCACAGCCCTTACTCTCGATGTCCATGAAAGAGCAGTCATTCAACATTTCTTGGAAAGCCACTATTCTATAATTATCCACCTCTCTTTTCCCAGCCTTTTCCCAGTAATAAAGTATCTCATTAAAGTCTCTCATGCAAATCCATGGTAGGGTGTTAGCAAGATGGATGGACCGCAATTTCTGCCATAAGAGGAGTCTATCTTGGAAATCAATAGGTGCATGAAGGAAGGTGATCTGCATAGTCACACCACTAACATGGTCCCGACAAGTGATATCAATTAGCTTCGCTGAACACTCCTCCACACTCACCGACAACTCCTCATCCCACATAACCACTAGTCCCCCTGCGATTCCATTCAGATCAATCGTCATGGACTTCTGGAACTGAAGCCGATTTATAGCTCTATCTACCACTTCTCTTTTATTCTTAGTTTCGATGAGGAACACCAAGTTGGGCCTATCTTGAGCCACTAAGGCTCTAAGATGCTCGAATGTCAGGGTAGAACCCAACCCCTGACAATTCCAGCTCAAAATTTTCATCTATCCCCTGGTGGCTTTTTCTCGAACACGTTGGCTACAACATCTTTTGACCACATTCTCCCCAATCATTTACATAGAACAGCAAGTCTAAGCACCTTATTTACTTCATTCTCTGCCTTATGATAATCTCCTTCGCAGGACTAGGGCACAGCACTAGGACAACCACAACAGAATCAAGCCAAGAAAACCAGACCGTGACTTACTAGCAATATATGCACAAGTCAGACTATCAGAGCACCACCAGGTTGTGAAGAGCAGTAAGCAGCGTCCCTCTCCTCTGTGACTGGATGGTATTAAGAACTGAAGGAAGGCGTTTAGAATAGGATAAGTGGCTATGGGCGTAACACTCCAAAACTGGAAGAAGGAAGGTAGTGGGGATCTGAACCGAGACAAGGTCAAAGGGCGAAACCTAGTGAGGAGGATGAATTCCAGGGGGGAGAAGGTAAATGAGAATGTAAGGAATTGGTGTAAACTTCATGACTGGAAGGGAGTTGAAGGTAAATAGGGCTATCTAGGGTTAACTATCACCATGGATAGAGAAAGCTCTTACTAGAAGAGAGAGAAGCTCTTACAAGAAGAGAGAAGCTCAATATAGAGCAAAATCAATAACCCCATGTGGTTGTTGAGTAGTTGAGAAATGGAAATGGGTGCCTATACTAGAGACAAGACACAACTTCGATTCCCTTTACCATCAAGTGTAAACGATCTCATATTTTGGTCACTTTATTCGGATTTTGGTTTGCATCTTCAAATATTCATGGTGAGCAAAATCTATCTACCGAAAGATGTAGATTTTCTCATCATGAAATAAAGGGTTAACTACAGATTTAATCCTTTGAATTTCAACATTTGTGCAATTTGCCCCTATAACTTTAAATTTGTTTAACCAAGTCCTCTTAACTTTTTATGATTTGTATCATTTAGTCCTCTAGGTTTCATTTTATGCAATCAAATCTCTAATTTTTCAATTTGTGCAATCAAATCCTTTAGTCAACCATTCTAACCGAACTTTTAGATTGGTTAATGACATGACACTGCATATATGATAGAGAGTGACACGTGATGCTAACTTGGTGCCAAGTGAGCAGAAACAAATGAAAAAAGCAAGAAAAAAGTAATCCTAATTTGTCAATATTAGCAACACTGGGTGAACAAAAGACTTGATTGCACAAATTAAAAAGGTTGGAGGATTTGATTGCACAAAACAAAATTCACAGGACCAAATTGCACTAATCCAAAAAGTTAGTGTGTATAGCGGAAGGTTGAATCTGCTGTTTCTTGAGAAATTGTGCGATGGGTAGTGGATGTTGCGTGGAAGGAAGAAGAAGTTATGGTCAACTGTTAGGAACATTGCATAATCACCACCACTTTGAATACCCAAGATTTTTTATTGTTATTTTTTCGGCCAAAATTGAGAAAATTAGTAGCCGGGAGCATCGGATATGGAGAAAAAAATTAGAGAAATTAGTCCCACAGCTTTTAATATAAATACTAAATTGTTAGTAGGCCGGTTCCCTTTGTAAATTATAGATGTAAGATACTAAAAATTTTCCAAAATGTCTAGTTGATAATTCACAAGCACTAGCTGCTTCAAGGGGTCCCACTCCTTAGGTCTTACGTGTTGCACTTTTGATTGGCTCGTTACTGCACTTGTCACTACCACAATAGTATAACGGTCGCATAGAATACTCATTAATAGATATTTCAATGATCAATCCCATGGATTTGATTCATTTTTGCGAGTATGAGTTAGAAGTTCCATAACATGCATCGATCACTTGACCATTATTTGAGTTCACATTCGAAAGGAAAGAGACACACGAGTACTGACAATTTTCTGAAAATCAAATTTGAAATGTGGGGATCCATAGATTACTTAACTATTTAGTTACTTTGGTTATCATAAACAACGATTTTATCTATCAATGATTCAATGGTTTATGTATTGTTATACTTATTATTTCCCACTATTTTTATATCTATACTGGTTATTTGTAAATGCAAATCATATTCCTTTTATTGGACGATTAAATCCATCTATCGTTGCATAAACAATGTAAAAGCGTGGATGTACTTAGGATCTGGCTCCAACTCATGCTAAAAGGGGTCATGACGTGGCTCTTTTCAAAGACAGGTCTCTGCAGCAGTTGAAGTGTAGTGAGTGATTCCACTATCTTGTACAGTGCAACTCGTGATCTTCGAACCCGACATTAGCCAAAGGGGTGGGACAAAAACTGGTACGACACGAGAGACAGACTTCAACGTTCATGCATGGTTTCATTCCAATGCATAAGATCCGTCATAGGTCAGAATTAATGATGGCATGGGAGGATCTGCCTCTTGCCACCCAAATTACTGACTGATCTTTTTGATGATCTGTTGATACGTTTCCTTATCCTGTAATTTATTTTATCTTTTGATTTATTTGAAGGAAGGCACTTGCCTTAAGTCATCGAGGTCGAGGTGTGTTGTCTTACATTTTGGTGAAGTATTCTATCTTGAGCCAGATCAATGCAGAATTGTTAATGACTAGGAGCAATGTAAATTCACACAAATGTTACTGATAGCATTGAATTATGCACGTGTTGCACAATACTCGATCCCATTTATAATCTTTACAGACGGATTTTTGAAGTTTAACCTTTTAGGATCAAGCCCATATGCTGAAAACACTTAGAATATATTGTCGATTTTGGGTTGTTCAGCCAACAGAGAGACAGACTTACTTAAAAAAATTGATATGTAATTACTTAGCAAAAGTATTCATATTGAAAAGAGTCTTGACACACTCGAAGTAGTGCTTCTATCATGCAAATGCGTGGGTTGTTATACGTTAAAAGCCTAGAAATTGGCTATTGCTCCACTAATTAGTAGAATCATTGTGCCCATCTGACTAAGGGAAACTGGAATTGGAATTCAAATGTTGCTGCACATATTTGATTACTTTCAGCTTTCGCAGTTACCGTGAATTTACTCCAACAGCACTCCTTAAATTCGAGTACCGTGCTTCGAGCTCGAACCAGGACTCCAGGCTCTGACCAACTGGTTAAATTCCTCAAACGTAGCCATCTTGTCGAGGTCGTCTCTTGTCCTTCCCTTCTCTTTCAAATGACATCCCATCTCTTTCAGCTCCTCGGCTCGGGAAGGTGCAATGGTGTGACTCCACCGTCAAATCATATTGCATATTCTGTAGCCTTTCGTACACCGTCCTATCTCCTTGAGCTCACTGTCATCCCTTGGTGCCTCCACAAAGCATGCATCAGCTCCTGCCTGCAAGTTTTATTACAATAAAGAACTTCAAGAAACCAAAAAACTGTTTTTAATTATTCATTTGAAACGAAATTCTATCAATGCTTTAGGACCCTATGCTCCATCTTGTAGTCTTGAAAGAACCAATAAACATTGTCCAAACAGCATGATCATCCAGCGAATGCTAAGAAACAATGATAGTAAAATGAAATTTTGACAGAAATCATCATGCAAACATTTGAACGGTTAGGATATGTTGCTGATTTCCATTCCTTTTCCTTCTTTAGACAGAGCATTAGACAACAAATGTCCTGACGATTCTAGCCATCAAGTGAAACAACTAAAAGATTTGGGCTAGGCTGCCTCGTCTGTCACCCTTGCCCAGAAAGCCTTTATGGCCTCGAGTGAGGCCGCCTTACCATGGCCTTGCGAGCCACAGGCAATGCCGCCTTCGCCCTCGGCCGGCGAGGTTGGCCTCCCCAGATCTAGGTAAGGGCCGCGCAACCCTCGCTCGCAGCCAAAGAGTTTTTGGCCCAGCAACCCTCGCCGACCTTACCCAGTGGCCGACAAGGGCCCATGGACCCTCGCTGGCCCCAATTGGAAAAAAAGGTAGGAAAACAGGAAAAAAAGAAAATAAAAAGGGAAAAAATATAAATAAAAAATAAGAAAAATATTAGAATTTTATTCAAAATTGTCCACATCAGCACTGTCCATACCACTTACGATGGGTAGCATCCACTTCAGCGAATTCCAACTAATATTGGCCAAATGGACTTAATTGGCAAAATGTGAAAAGGTTTAAGACTCAATTACCAAAATTGAAAGATTTAAGAATGAATTGGCAAACGTGCAATAAGTTTAAAAAATTTTGGACAATTTTCCCTTTGGAGAGCTTGAGGTAATTTCTTCAAAATCATATTCCAATTCAATGTATTTCAGTTGCTTAATTACTAATATTTTTTTGTAACCATTTGACATCATCCTATTATTTTGACAAGAGTTGATGGATGTCTCTTCATTCATGACAATGTACCACGAGGGGAATTATTGGACATGTTGCAGAATTATGCAATATTCAGTTTATATTTTTAAAGAAATTCTCAATATTACTTTATGATAAAATGCATATCTAAAATTCCCTTGATTTATTTTAGAATAAGAATGCTGAATTTCCTTTTCTTGTGAGAATTTTGTCCCCATCACCTGATTGTCAATATATCCTTCAATTATTGATGCTTAGGCTGCGCATGACAACTTGCCAAATAGTGTTTGATTCTGTTCTTTTATTCCCAGAATCAGTTTGAGAATAGAAATGTGTTTGTTTAATTTTTTGATTCTGGGCACAATTTTGCCAAAAATTGTTTCCAGAATCAGTTTTTAAGAATAAAAAAAAAGTAGCTTCTTGATTCTGGGAACAATTTTGAGAATCAATTTTTTTTTCTTCTTCCTTTTCTTGGTTTTTAATGTAGCTTCTAATGTCTGGCCCGAGGACCGCCCACGCCGGATCTGATGAGAATAAAATATTTTAATAAAAAATATTATTAAAATAAAAAATATTTTACTAGCCTGGTCCGGCGACCAGGCCATGGCCAAAAAAAAGAAAAAAAAATATTTTACCTGCCATGGCCGGTGACCAGGCCATGGCAAAAAAAGAAAAAAAATATATTTTTAATAAAAAATATTATTAATAAAAAAAATATTTTACCGGCCATGGCCAGCAACCAGGCCATGGCAAAAAAAATAAAAATGTATATTTTTAATAAAAATATTTTAATAAAAAATATTATTAATAAAAAAAAATATTTCACAGGCCATGGCCGGCGATCAGGCATGGCCAAAAAAAAGAAAAAAATATATTTTTAATAAAAATATTTTAATAAAAAAAATATTTTACCAGCCATGGCCTGGAGCCAAAAAAAATAAAAATATATATTTTTAATAAAAATATTTTAATAAAAAATATTATTAATAAAAAAATATTTTACCAGCCATGGCCGGCGACCAGGCCATGACCCAAAAAAATAAAAATGTATATTTTTAATAAAAATATTTTAATAAAAAAATATTTTACCGGCCATGGCCGGCAACCAGGCCATGGCAAAAAAAAATAAAAATATATATTTTTAATAAAAATATTTTAATAAAAAATATTATTAATAAAAAAAAATATTTTACCGGTCATGGCCGGCGACCAGGCCATGGCCAAAAAAAAGAAAAAATACTTTTAATAAAAAAATATTTTACCGGTCATGGCCGGCGAGCAGGCCATGGCCAGGGAGGAAAAGAAAAAAAGAAAAGAAAAAAAAGAAAGAAATATTAAAATATTTAAAAATATTATTAATAAAAAGAAATTTTGTGGCGTTACCAAACGCATTTCTGTTCTTTTTCTATTCTAGGGATGAAATTTTGGGCCATTAACAAACACCTTAAAATGCTCAGAATCAATTCTGGGCACAGAATAAAAAAGAATCATTTCTGAGTAGAATCTGTTCCCGGGCACAGAATCGTTGTCATGCGCAGCCTTAAGGTGGTTATTTTTCCAAGTTTTGTAAAATTTAAGTTGGTTGTGTCTTGATTATAGATCATTTTTTACTTAT